ACATAGAATCTTATACAGATCAAGAATATACATATATTATGGGTCTATATTTCGAGGAGTTATAAAGTATTAATATACACTCTCTAGTTCCAAGGAACTGCTATATAGCATGCAAAAGGTCTCAATTCTGTAGAAGGTATCTTCAATGTACTCATATACCTTAAAGATAAATCTGCATTTGCATCCCTATCAAATATCCCCACACGGAGACAATGTGTTGCTAGTGTCAATCTGGAGGGATTTCGTTCAAGTGGAAGTGTTAAACAATTATTATGACGATATTGTTGCTTTCGTTGTTGTTATTATTTCTTTCTCCCCTACTCACAGTTTCTACAACAACGAACTTAAACATTGGAGGGGACTCTCTAAATAATTTTGCAACAAAAAACGAAACACAAACAACAACATCATCAATGACACCAGGCAAACTGCAAAATGTCCTTTAAATTATTCTTTCCCTGTTCTCCCTCTGCGCTTGGCAACATTATTTCCCTACGTGGCTGATGATGTGAACATTATGCCCTCTGAGAGTTGGGATGGTGGTGGTGGTTGGTGTTGATGATGGTGTTGGTAACTGATGTTGCTGTTGCGTCTCTGCCTCTCTTTCGTTGGTGTTAATGGTCTGAAATTATGTTCGAGTCTTCAAAAGTTTATGATGATTACCACGAAATTTGATAACAAATGTTATAAATTTCAAAATGTATGCATGAATGAATCCCATAACTTAGGTGTTTAGATATCTGTTATACTCTGGGTGTCGTCTGGCACTCTCCTTATTCTCAGGATTGCCCTGCAATTCCTGGTACCTGGAGGGTTGTGGTGGTGGTGGTGCAACAGAGAAAAGAAAAAAAAAGAAACTCTGCAGCTTTCCTTTAAATTGAAATTTAAGACTTTAAGGGCTATAAATCTGAACCTGTTTCAGTTTTTCTTCTTGGCTTAACAAAGTTAGTCAAGATTATCGGGGGGTAAAATGTTATTTGTTGTTGGTACTTTTGTTCGAGCATAACATGTTGCAGGAGTCATTAAAATACCAACTCATTTTGTGACATTTTATGTGTGCGTGTGTGTGTGTGATGTATGCCGTTTACAAATGAGAACTAATTTTGCCATGTAAGGTAGTACGTTAAAGGAGGTGGAGTTATGAGAGACTTTAGGCTTATAGAAGATAATAATAAATAAAATAGGATAATAGTGCGGGAATGGGAACCGCAGAAAAACTCTTCGAAGGGACTTCAGCTTTGGAAAGCCTTCTTAAATTTTATTTGATCTCTGAAATGTCTCTTTAAGAGGCGACCTCTTGGATTTTCTTTTGGAAACAGGTCACCTCTTGAAATATCTTCTAACAGATAGGGTAAAGCACAAAAACAAACCAAACAATCAACCAGTAAAGAGAGGTCAATAGTCGGGCGGCCGATTACATATATTATGTCATACACCACTATGCGTATTTAGTGGAGCTCCCGTAACAAAAAAGTTTATATTGGGAATTTATCTGAAGTAGACCCCATCAAATATGTGCGTTATTCGAATGCGTATCATGGCTTTAGAGTAGACACAACTTGGGAACTATAACCAACTCTGCTGCGATTTTCAACAAATTTGAAAGAGGTCTTTGCACCTCTAAAACCAAAAAAATATTGCGGAATGGTGCATGATATGACCCCGATAAAGATTATATTAAAAATATTTATTGGAGCAATAGATATACCGGACAGAGTTTCACCAAAGGGAAAAATTCGGTTTAATATGAAAAAATCTGCCCAATTTGGGCTGATATTATATATATGTGGTGGACAATAATCGTAGAATCGAATGAAGATGAATATCGAAGTTATATACAAATCTGAACAGATTTCGAATAAATTTGGCAAAAGTATTCTCAAGCTGTATCTGGTATACGGTATGACATATCATTGTTGTGGAGAGCATATTACGCATGTGAGGGACTTTAACACCAGATCGGATGAAACATATATTTGAGCTATAGCTATATCTGTACCGATTTACACAAAAAATTGAATTGGGCTGAATTCGGTCGGATGTGCTACAAATCAGTCCATTTGGGCTGATATTAGCAATTTATGTATTGGAGCTATATCTAAATCTGATCCGATCTTGATAAAATTTGACAGAGGAATTTCTGGGCAATATCTGATTATGTACTTGCTTCTAGACCGAATTCGGTCGAATATGTCAAATTGGCCATTTCGGGCACAATTAACCCGAAATCGGTTGAAGAAGCAGGGTCATCTCAAACTGCAACCAACTTCAGACTGCTGTAGTTTCTAAGCCACTCGTCCGATAGCTGTGAAAATTATTCCAGTGACAGCTCATTATATTGTTTACAAGTGTACAAAAGCATTTTGGTGAGAATTTTCCAGAAAAAAAGTTATTCGTGATGGAATTTAAGCGTGATAGAGTGATTTCCTTATATTTGGCTGGAAAACCACAAGTGTCTATCGTTAGAGCTCTCCAGAATTTAAATTTGAATAAATCTTTTGTGTCTTGTATCAGCGCTCGTTACCGTGATATTGGTAGAGTAGCCCGACGTCCAGGAAGTGGACGAAAGAAAACAGCAACATCAGCAGAAATAGTTCGAATAGACTCAAAAGAGCTTAAGAGTTGCTTCGCTTGGCCGAAAGTGGTGAACTGCCGAATTTGGTTTTCTCCGATGAGAAAACATCCATTGTCCAGCAGTTTGTAAACAAACAAAATGATCGTGTTTACTTGCCAAAGAGGTCAGCTGAAAATGTTCAACTTCGGTTGGCCACCAGAACTCAAGCACCGGCCATGGTGATTGTGTGGGCTGCCAAAAAAGCCCATGCTCGCTCTCGCTCGTATTAATCGACCTTGGTATCAGAATATATGCCGAATATTATCGCGAAAATATTCTGGAGGGTGTTTTAAAGCCTTGGGCACGCAAACATTTTGGCCGCAGAACTTGGACATTTTAACAGGACTCAGCATCATCGCAATCGGCACGCGCCACCCAAGAATGGTTACAAAATGAGGTTCCTCGCTTCATTTCCAGCGCACAATGGCCACCAAACTCACCGGATACCAATCCGTTGGAATATTCTGTCTGGAGTATTTTTGAAAGCAAGGTTGGCACCAAAAAATACTAATATATCGATCACCTCAAGCAAGCGCTTCACCGGAAATGGACCAAAATACCGCAGAGCAACATTAGGGTAGCCTGTGACGGTTTCATTGCCCGTTTGAAGGCCATAATTCGTGCCTAAGGTGACCATTTCAAACAAATCGAAACTTATTCTAAAATTTTATGCTATTTCCGACTTTTTTTGCTTTCATTCAATAAAATTAAAAAAAAAAAATATGGCGTTCAACTTTTTTGCGGTTTTTTTATCTCACCCTGTGTGGAGGACAATTACCATAAAATCGGATGAAGATGTATATGGGAGTTATATCCAAATCTGATCCGATCTCGATAAAACTTGGCAGAGGTATTTTCAAGCTGTATCTGGTCTCCGGCACCAAATATCTTTGTTTTGGTGGGAATATAACGCATATGAGGGACTTTAACACCAAATCGGATGAAAAATATATATGGGAGCTATAGCTGTATCTTAGCCGATTTCCACTAAAATTTGAAGTAATTGCTTCTGAGCAGAAGTAATTGCTTCTGATATTGGGCAGAGGTATTTCTGAGCTGCATTTGATATTTGATACCAAACATCATTTTTGTGGGGTGCACTTTACGAATGTGGAGGAGTTATACACCAAATCAGATGAAACATACATATTGGAGCTATAGCAAAATTCAGGTCATTTCGACAGATATTGGCCAATTGGTGCACAATTATTCCGACATCGGCTGAAGATATTTATGGGAGCTATATCTAAATTTGAACCGATTCTCACCAATTTCAATAGGTTCCGTCCTTGGTCCAAAAAAATATTGTTTGGAAAATTTCATCTCAATCGGATAATAAATAAGTTCTACAGTTTGTTCACAAAAATTAATGGACAGATGGGCAGACGGACTGACATGCATAAATCGATTCAGAAAGTGATTCTATGAAGATCCTCAAAAGTAACAATGGGCCTGTCTCGCTTCCTTCTCCATGTTACAGACCAATACACAAAGACATAATACTCTTACCACCCGGGCCGAACTTTTTATATCCTTCATCACTGTGTTTATCAAAGGTATCATTATATGGGGGTTATACTATTACTTGTCCTGAATCGAACATTTTTGCTAGAAGAGGACAGGCCTGCCGAGAACCCCAAGAAACCTTCAACGTACCAAAAATCGGGAGTTACCGTTACATGGGTTCTATACCTAAAAGCCAATTCTCAATACCGTTCAGCCTGCATATAATATAAACCTTTGTTCCGAAATTCTATCTCTAGATTAAATAATTTGGACTTCATTGTGATTTCAACCGACAGACGGACGGGCATTGCTAAACCGCCTTATAATTCAATTCTGACCCGTTGTGGGGGATGTACTTAATGGAGTGGTGCAATGTATCCCCCATTCGCACTAGATCTTGTGTTGATATAAGTATTAGGAGGTCCCGAGTTTGAATGGAATCGTATGTTTATTTCCCATTTAATGAAGTTTATGCTTATTTTAAATTTTGACCCATTGTGTGGGAGGTACCATCTTCGCATCAGATTTTGTGTTAGTAGAAATATAAAAAAAATCGGACTCTTATTTCACATTTTATAGGAGCACTGATACAAATATTAGGATTTGAATGATCATTTCTCCCTTAGATCGACTCCAAATGTCCAGAAACCAAGATGGTCTAAAGAGGCAAGGGTCAAAAACCGTTATTTCGATGAGCCCCGTTTTAGACGTGTCAAATGAGGGTACAAACATCTAGCTCTGCATTTTCTGTAATTTATCCAAATTCATTGAGAATCTGATCTTCGTCGCCGATTACATTCAAAATTTGAATATTCAATATTTTGAATATTCGATAAAAATTGTTTAATAAAAAATAAACAAAAAATTCCTTCCAACTCACCTTAGTACTTGTGGTCCTGGGACTACCGCCCAATGCTATGGCATACACCTCCACTTCATAGGTATCAGCGCCTGCTTCACGATCCAATTCCTTGGCCGTTGATAGTATTCCCAATCTTGTGTCAATATCGAAGAGACGTTCATTTACCAACATTTTCGTATCCGAAAAATCACCAGACACCGATGACGCGCCCGTATTCACCGCCGTTATGTTCGTAACATAATATTCAATTTCCGCCGAATTTAGACGAGCACTAACCGTTAAAATACTTGTTCCGATCGGTTCATTTTCATAAACCGAACCACTTTGTTCCAACTGATCGAATACCGGTCCCATAACGCCCGAGGAACTTGTGGCGATAATTGTGATATAGGCATCGGAACTTTTGCGTTCACTTTGCACCGCTTCATCGGTGGCCTTTAGCGAGAGTTTGTAACGTACCTCCGGTTTGGCAATAGGTTTACGGAGGGTAATGGCTCCCGTATTGCGATGCAGTTTAAATAGATCCATGTGACCGAAAACATGTTCATAGGTCACAATGCCATTGCTCGATGAATCCGCATCGGTGGCATGAACCTGCATGACAAGAGCTCCATCACGATTTTGGGCATACATTTGCTGATTTTTCGAGGGCAAAATGGCAGCATTCATTGAAACAAACACGGGGGCATTATCGTTGATGTCCTCCACGATAACGGTAACAAGTTTCTCGGCCGACAATTGCATTTCCGGTGGCTGGGCCTGATCGGTGGCCACAACGGTGAGGCGAAATGTGTCAATGGTTTCGCGATCAATTTCCCGTAGGGTATGTATCACGCCGGTTTGTGTGTTAATGCCAAAATGACGTCCTCCCGGTAGCTCTGGGTCTTGTTTTGCAATGCTATACGTCACATTTCCATTGAGATCTGAATCGGGATCCTCCGCGGTCACCGTGACAATAGGTGTTCTCAAATCTATGCCCTCTTTAATTTGCCTGACAATGGCGGTGTTGGGAAAGCTTGGCGGATTGTCATTTTCATCCTGAACATTAACGGTAAAAATAATGGTACTCGAAAGCCTTGGCGAACCACCATCTGAGGCTGTGATATTCAAATGATATACCGTGGTCTCCTCATAATCCAGGGGTTTGTGTAGATAGAGTATACCACTGTAGGAATCAATGTGAAAGGTATCCTTGCGATTCCCCGCCGTCAAAGAGAAGGATATTTGAGAGTTAATACCCAAATCGGAGTCCAGGGCCTTGAAACGCATTAGCTCCGTACCCACCAGAGATGTTTCCAGTACGATTATTTCCTTCAGGGTGTCGACAAATTTCGGCGCCTCATCATTTTCATCGAGCACTTCAATGGTCACAGTGGTGGTGGAGTTCAGCTGTTGGCCCTCAATGGCAGCATCTTTGGCCATAACCAATAGCTGGTATTCATCTTGATATTCCCGATCCAGTTTTCGAGCCAAGGACAGCTGGCCCGTGGCATCATCGATGGTAAATCGACCTTCCTGATTACCCTTCACAATGGAGTAGTAAACATCGCCATTGAGGCCCTCATCAAGATCGTTTGTGTATACCCTCATTATCTGTGTCCCCACCAGGGAACCTTCAGAAATCTGCACCCTATAGGGAGCCCTCACGAATTCCGGGGCATTATCATTGACATCGGTTATAATGATCTTGATTTTCACCTTATCCTTGAGACGTGGTGTGCCATTGTCGGCCACAATGGCCTCGAGGAGTATGAAATTTTGATAACCCGCTAACTGGCCACCAATGGCACTTGAGGGCATTCTCTGTATCAGCTCCTCACGATCAAAGGGCTGTAGCGCCTTAATGAACCCGTTACGCGAATCTATGGTAAATTCCTTGATGGGAGAGGCGAGGGTAAAAATCAACTCAGCATTACGTCCAATATCCTTGTCGGTGGCCGTCAGTTTACCCACAAAGGCATCGGCTGGTTCATTTTCCGGTAGGCTAAAAGTAAATGAGCTATTGCTAAACTGCGGGGCATTATCATTTTCATCGATGACATGTATGATGACGGGCACTTCGGCTGTTCTTTGCGGCTCTCCGGCATCATGGCATTTCACGGTCAGGGCATAGTAGTCTTTTTCCTCGCGATCCAGGGGTGAGCGTACAAAGAGGTAACCATCCGGGAATATGCCAAATTTTTGAGCCAAGTTTCCCTCAATGATTTCGTAGGACAGGCGGCTATTCAATTCCAAATCCCGGTCATGGGCCTTGACCGAGAAGAATCGCTCATTGACTCGAGTGGATTCTAGCAGAGATGTTTCATAGGACGTGCTATCGAACACAGGCGTGTGATCATTGACATCCGTAATAATTATGGTTATGGTGTGCTTATTCGCCAAAGGGGGTCTGCCATGATCCGTGGCCGTCAGCTCCAATTGCAGCGAGGTTCCTGGTTCCGCTTTCAAGGGTTTTTGTAAATATATTACCCCCGTCGAGGGTCCAATGCGAAATAACATATCCGGATTGAAAGTGAGAGTATAGGTTATTCGACTATTGTTTCCCGAATCACGATCCCTGGCCCGGGCTATATACACCTCCTGGCCCACAGCGGCATTTTCCCTCAAAGTTATTTCATCGTCTCTGTCCAGGGCGAAGATGGGGCGATTATCATTCACATCCAATATACCAATATGTACCAAACATTTGCCATAGGCCAAGCCTCTTCGGGCCACCACTTCCAATTGATATTGATTCCTTTGCTCCCGATCTATGGCCTTGTTGGTGGTGATCATGCCCGTCTTTTTATTGATCGCAAAATTCTCCTCCGGATCCCCAAAGACAATCGAGTATTCCAAATTTTCCGGAGAGGCTGATTGCTGTTGTGGCTTGACTTGTACCTGGCCCACTTCTCGAAACAATTGGGCGCCACCACCACCATTAGCACCATTATTGTTGGCATCGTTTCCATTGTCTTCGCTTAGCTGGAATTCATAGGTCTGTGAATACGAATCAAATTCCAAAGTTTGCAATTTTTCCTGCATTATTATCTCCACCACAGCATCTTGTTCGCTTTGCCTTTCACCACGATCTTTGGCTGTTATGTGCAGCTTGTACAAGGGCTTTGTAAAATGATGTAAAATATCATCTCGGTTGGAGGTGGAGGTGGAGGTGGCGGCTGTGGATGTCGTGGCTGCTTTTATAACCTTAGAGCTGAACATGATCGAACCTGACCAGGCATCGACAACAAATAAACCATCACCACCTGTATTTAAGGTATAAGTAATTAAGGCATTATCACCCTCATCACGATCGGTAGCAGAAACTTTTAATAATGGCCTCTGCAGCATGTTTACAATGTCAAGATCTGGCGAGGAGACAGCAGTAGCACCGCCACCACCACCACCACTGCTACCAGTAGCTGTTGTTGTTGTTCCTGCCGCATTGTCTTGCCGACTTGGCAACGCCAACGCATGAAAATACATTTTCGGATAAAATTCTGGTGCATTATCGTTGACATCTTCTATGTGCAGATACACCGTGGCCGTCGATGATTTCGGCGGTGTACCCTGATCACGTGCGATTACTAAAATTTCATAATTCGCCTGTAATTCACGATCTAGTGCTTTTTTCGTTGTTAATTGGCCTGTGAGTGTGTCTAGCTGGAATTGTTCGGGATAGCGTCGTTCGCTTACGCTGGCCAGCGTATAAGTCACTGAACCATTGGTGCCCTGATCGTGATCATTGGCGGTTAACATGGCAATTAAGCTATGTACGGGGGTTGCTTCGCTCAAGCTGACATTGATGTGGGGTTGGGTGAACTGAGGTGCCTCATCGTTCTCATCAAGTATGGTGACCTTGAGTTGGGTATAGGCCCATTTGGGATTGGGGCCACCGTCACGGGCCGAAATACTCAATTCCACCGAACCTTCTACCTCACGATCCAATGCCGATTGGGTGGTTATCAGCCCTGTGGCCGAATCAATGGCAAACCATTGATTATTGTTGCCCGAAACGAAATCATAAAAAATCAAGGCATTCACCCCGGTGTCCTCATCCGTGGCCGCAATGGAGGCCACAAAGGAGCCGGGAGGGGCCAATTCACTCAATATGGCCGTGTATTCCGATTTCTCAAACACCGGTTCATGGTCATTGACATCATTCACATGGATTATCAAATAGGCTGTGGCGGTGCGCGATGGTGTCCCCTTATCTGTGGCCACCACTGTGAGATTATATTTTCCAATCTCCTCCCGATCCAATACCCCATTGACCCTGACAATATCAAATGAGGGGGTCTTTTCCAAACGAAAGTGACCCAATTCATTACCCGCCGTGATCATAATCGATGTTTCTCCATTTAAACCCTCATCCATGTCCACCACGGAGACGGCAGCCACAACACTGCCATTAAGGGCATTTTCATCGACCGTGGCAAAGGATCCAGTGGCGGGGAAATATTGGAAACGTATCACGGGATCATGATCATTGGTGTCCAACAAATTTACCGTGACATAAGCCCGGCCATCTTGGCGTGGGGATCCATGATCTCTAGCAAAAACGGTGAAAACACAGCTCTTGGGACAGCTACCTCCAGGCTTGGAAAATGTGGGACAGGTCTGCTGGGGACAATTCAAATGTTCCGTTGTGGAAATCACTCCCGTCTCTGGATCCACTGTAAACTGGGTCTCCGTTTCCGCCAAATAGTAGGTGATTTTGCTGTTATCTCCCAAATCCTTGTCCGTTGCCATGACCTGTAACACCGTGCTGCCTGGAGTCACCGACTCATTTAGCGACACAATGTAGTCACTGTGATCAAAAACCGGCGGATTATCATTGACATCAATAATGGTCACATTAACCTGCAGGAAACCATATTTTGGAGGATTTCCACCATCCACGGCCGAGATATTCAGACGATACATGGAACGGGTTTCGCGATCCAAATCTCCCGTCGTTTCCAAATGCAGATACATAACATCACCCCCAGGATTTGAGGTTACGGCCAGGCTAAATTTATTATCTATGTTGCCATCAACAATGGAATAATTTTTGCTAACACTGTTTATGCCCAGATCCAAATCGGTGGCTGCATCCAGCAGGCAACTGGTACCCTTGGCTGCACTTTCGGAAAAGGATACAGCTATACTGGGCTCGGGGAATTCGGGAGCATTATCGTTGATATCCAAGACCGTGATGCGTACCTCTATGGGATAGGTGGGCTGAGAGGAGAGTACCACCAAATCGTAACGTTCCCGCATGCCTTCACGATCCAGAACCATGTTGGTTTTAATTTCTCCTGTCACCTGGTCCAGGGTAAATTCTCGGGGTGGCTCATTGAAGCGATAAGTGAAATCCGGCCGGGTAGGGATAAAACCCACCACTGTGCCCTTGGGCTGGCCCTCCAACACCTCAAACTGGACCCGGGTATCCACTGCTCGCGATTGCATTTGTCCCATGGTTGCGCCGCCGCCATCTGCTGTCCGACGCCGTGGAAATGCTGAGGTATAGGCATGGCGGCCAGGATTCGTAGCCAGAAATGTGTAGAGGTCCTTTGGAGGTAGCATCGTTTGTGGGGGCTGGACAAAACTAATACTTTGTGATGGCTGTTGGTTGAGGTGATGATTTGTTAATGTGTTGCTGGCTGTGGAGGCGGAGGAGGCGATAGCTGAGGCTGTTAGCCACAACAATATGGCCAAGATATAGCTGCTTGGTGGTAATGGTGTTAACATGGAAAGAGGTTGTCTTTGTGGCCTTGTTTGTGGCTGGTGGTGATTGCAAGGCTGGTGGTGGCGGTGGTGTTCCTCTTCTTTTTGTCGCTGATGATTTCGATGATGGCTATGGCGTTGATGGCCCTCCTTGTTGGTAATACAGTCTTTTGAAAGTTCCTCTTTGTTCTCCATGGCCAATGGTGTGGACCTCCGCCCTCTTGGTCGTGAAGCCGGAGCTTTTTGTAATGATGATAAACTATTTACAAATAATGGCATATGAACTTCTTGGCTATGATCATCATTAGTGGTGGCAGCCACAGCAACGTCATCATGGCTAAGATCTCTGGGCGAAAATGTTTGACAATGCGTTGTTGTTGTTGCCGCTCTTCGCATTGTAAAAACATCATCATTATCATTGTTGTTGTAAAATTGCGTTGTTGTATCGTGAAAATCTGCCGCTTGATTTGTCATGCTGTTCCCGAGTTTTTCCCCAGAATCATCAACACTTTTTGCCATGGCCCAGACATCAGTGGCTTCTGGCTGCTCAGATGGTGGTGGTGATGGCGATGTTGATGAAGCTAGACCTGTAAATGATAACGTTTGCACCGCTGTTGTTGCCATGTTGCATCTGGTTGATGTGGCTTTTTCACCTTGCCCACGAAGCTGCTGCGGCAGCAGCCGTCTTGGATGAAGAACTTCTGACGTCTGTCTTTGGTCATCTGCAGGCAAATTTTTCACTTGTCCACGGCACATTGATGTCGACATTCTCATCATCCTGGTCATCCTGGTTTTCGGCGGCAACAGCCAAGTTAATGCTGTTGTTGTCGCCTTAACCTTCATACGACACCAGTAAACCACAAAAAAAATGATAGACCAAGTTCAACTTGTCTAATGGCAGGGCAAGCAGATGAACAAAACGAAAAAAAACCAAATGGCAAGGTAACGCCTTTTAAAATCCTTTTTTAACTCTTTCTCTCCGTCCTTAACTCTAATTCAATTGGTGGTTTCTTTTTTGCTCTTGAACTGAAATATACGTTTGTCGTTTTGCCTCTTTTTAATTTTTTAAGTAATTTTCCGTTTTTTTTTTTGTTACTGCCTTGTAGATTTATATTTTTAGGGCCTTCTTAGCAGATATCTTGTGGATGGCCGACTCTTTTGTTAAAGCCATTAGTGTTGTGGTCGTTGTTCTCCTTTTTTCAAACAACAAGCAAAAATTTTGCTTAAACTGCCTGGGATTTTTTGCAAATTAGTTTCATTTTAATTTTTGTCCGTAAAAGTAACAACATTTTTGTAAAGTTTTTTGCTGTCGCTGCTTCATTATTTATGTTGGCATTTTCTGTTTTTCGTTTCTTCGTTTTTTTTTTTTGTAGAATTGTATTCCCTCGCTTATTCTATTTGTTTCTTTTCGGCGCATTCGTTAGTCATCCAGTTTCCAGCTCTATTCCGGCCCATACAAATTATCACTTGTAGAACTTTTTTTTAGCTGTAATGCAAAAGAAAAAGAAGACGCAAAAAATTATTTTCGTTAGGTTTTATTTGTTAAACGAAATGTAAATATGTACATATGTATGCGTATATGTATTTTGACAAATGATTATGTGTTTGCATATGGGATATTCCATGGAAAATAAGTCAATTTTCAAGATCATGGTAATGACATGTAAAAAGGCATATATTTGTATATACCCCAGGGGTGGGCGAAAGAACAGGAGAGGAAGTACCCCGTGTTTTCCGAAATGTTGACTTTTCTGGTACTTTTTACAAATTTTACACGGAAAAATAAATTTTTCTAATAGGAACCCTTGAAATGTTCACGAAATACATTTTGGCTTAAGTTGCTGATAAAAACTTCATTCCGTTGGTAATTCATTGAAATATTCCTCATCGGCACAAAATTCTAAGACGATTTTAACATGCCCATCGGTCCATCTGAGTTGCTCACTTTAACTCGTCAAAGGGATCGTCCTAGATAACTAACATTTTGGTCATATGTATATTATGTCTGAAATGTATATATGGAACTGAAAATGGGTTATGTCGGTCAATAGTATAGCCCACATATGGAGGCACCTCTCCCAAGTTTGCAAAAGGAATTATCTGGAATTTGGTATTTGAATATCAACCTCTCAAATAGAAAGAAATCTATATAGTCCTAAGATTTCCTATGGTCCGAAATTTTCCTATAGCCCCCAAACAACGGTTCCTCTCGACAAATGGCATTTTAATTATTTCAATGACATTTCTCAACGAAACTTTTTCAAATTTCGTATTTGAAACTCGTAATGAATCCAGACAAAGACATAGATGTGTAAAGATAGGACAAGACAGAGTCAAAATATGGCAACCCTGAGAAAATACCTCTGTTGTTACGATATCATAACAACCGCTAAGACGGTATGCATTTTTTTGGATAGGTCTATGGAATAGAATTTTGAAACCAAAATTTTGGAATTTTCAAATTTTGATTTGTTATTCGTTTCTGTAATTGTAGTTTTTATATTAACATGTCTCTGCCATGAATTGTTACTCTATATATATGTAGACACAAACCCTTTGCTCAAAATGCATTTTGTCTAGTCTTTACCATTTTAGGTCTTTGATCCAGATGCCTTTATATATAAATGTTTTTTTAAACTACTGATGGAAGGAATTAAAAGTTTGACCCGAAGTACTCTTTTCCTTTTTTTTAATTTTCTCCTCAGAATATACTAGTTGTTATCCTTAACCATTAAAAAATATTAAATGCAAATTATACGACATATCAAAAAAGTGGACATCACGCTATTCAATAAGAAGAAATCTACAATAAGGAAAATCCGGCGACTTCTTTTAAAATAGGGCGAGGGAGGAGTGGGAAAATAGGAGTGCGACTCGAAAAGCCCAGCCCCTTCAAGTCATCTAATGTGGATTTTTAAAGGAATAATTTTTCAAGGTCTTCTAAAATCAAATTCTTAACATTTCGAAGATCCTGATCTTGGATTTTTAGGGTGTATTTTTTCAAGCTCCTATTTAAATATGGATTTTTAAGGAGTATTTTTCAAGGATTAATCGACAAGACTGTCGTGACTTATTGAGGAATATGAGGCTAAAATTCTAGATTTTAAAAGAATATTTTTTTCAAGAATCAACCGACCTATTATCACAGGTTTTTATACCCTACACCACAAGGTGGTCAGGGTATTATGTCTTTGTGCATTTGTTTGTAACAGGCAAAAGGAAACGATATAGACCCATTGTTCCTTTTGATGATCTGCATAGAATCACTTTCTGAGTTGATTTATGCATGTCAGTCCGTCTGTCCATGTACTTTTGTGAACAAAATGGAGGTCGCATTTATTATCCGATTGAGATGTAATTTTCCAAACAACATTTGTTTAGCCCAAGGACGAACCCTATTGAAATTGGAGATAATCGGTAAAAAAATTAGATATAGCTCCCATATATATCTTCATCCGATTATAGGTTTCTTGTGCATCAAATGGCTAATATCAGTCCAAATGGTGTGAATTTTGCTACATCCGACCGAATTCAGCCTACAAGCATGTGCTTCAAATTTGGTGAAAATCGGTTTAGATATAACTATAGCCCCATATATATGTTTCATCAGATTTTGCTGTTTAAGTCACTTACAAGACTGATGTTTAGCTCAGATATCAGATACATCCTAGCAATTCATAGATCAAATTTTATCAAGTTCGGTGCAGATTTGGATACAGCTCCTATATGTATCCTTATCCAATTTAACGTTTCTTGTGCACCAAATGGCTAATATCAGCCCAAATGGCGTGAATTTTGGCACATCCCACCGAATGCAGTCTAGAAGTAAGTACACCAAATTTGGTGAAAATCGGTTCAGATATAACTATAGCTTCCATATATATATTTCATCCGATTTGGTTTTTTATCAAGATTGGATCAGATTTGGATATAGCTGCCCCTTGCCAAATTTAATCGAGAACGGCTAAGATTTGAATATAGCTCCCACATATATCCTTAATCCGATTTCAGGTTTATTGTGCTAATAATAGCTAATAATGGAGTGAATTTCGGGACGTACGTTTCCATTTGTGGAACTCGGCTCCGATACATATTTTTTAATATAATCATTCTCGAAGTGATATCATGTCTCTATAGCAATGTTATTTGGTATAAAAGATTAAAATGCCTCCGTCGAATTTAGTGAAAATCGAATTGTATATGCCTCCCATATATTAGTGGCTTATATTTCTTTCATATGTACAGGGTGAGATAAACAGAACTGCAACAAAATCAAACGTCATAATTTTTAACTTTTTTAATTTTATTGAATGAAATCAAAACATGTCGGAACTGGCATCAAATTTTAGAATAAGTTTAGATTTCTTTGAATTTGTCACCTTTGGCACGAATTTGGCCTTCAAACAGCCAATGAAACCGCCACACGCTGCCCGAATGTTGCTCTGCGGTATTTTGGCCCATTCCCGGCGAAGCGCTTGCTTGAGGTGATCGACACTTTGGTATTTTTTAGTGCCAACCTAGCTTCCCAAAATACTCCAGACACAACAGTCCAATCGATTGGTATCTGGGGATTTTGGTGGTCATTGTGCACTGGAAATGAAGCGAGGAACCTCAATTTATAACCATTCTTGGGTGGCGCGTGCTGAGTGCGATGGTGCTGAGTCCTGTTGGAAGATCCAAGGTCTGCGGCCAAAATTTTTGCGTGCCCAAGGCTTCAATACACCCTCCAGAATATTTTCGCAATAATATTCGGCATTTATTCTGATGCCATGGTCGATTAATACGTGCGAAGAGCGACCATCGGCTGTTATGGCGGCCCACACCATCACCATGGCCGGCGTTTGAGTTCTGATGGCCAACCTAAAGTGCACATTTTTAGTTGACCTCTTTGGCAAGTAAACACGATCATTTTGTTTTTTTTACAAACTGCTGGACAACAAATGTTTTCTCACCGAAGAAAAACTATAAAAATCTGTCACTGGAATAATTTTAAAAGTTGTCGGAGGAGTGGCTTACAAATGACAGCAGTCTGAAATTTATTGTAATTTTTTTTATCTCATGATGTATTTTTCAAGGATATTACAATAATGCTGTATTTTCAAAGCATATTTTCGCAAGGACTTCCAGGGCCACAATTGTCGATTATACAAAAATAATTTTCGATCCGACCAATAATTTTGGGTTTTAAACAATATTCTAATCAAGGATATCGTAAATATTTAAAGAGCATTTTTTCAAGTGATATTTGTGGCCATAATTATGGATTATTAAAGAATATTATGTTATGTTATGTTATGTTATGTTATGTTATGTTATGTTATGTTATGTTATGTTATGTTATGTTATGTTGTGTTGTGTTATGTTATGTTATGTTATGTTATGTTATGTTATGTTATGTTATGTTATGTTATGTTATGTTATGTTATGTTATGTTATGTTATGTTATGTTATGTTATGTTATGTTAAAACGCCAATCAAAGATTTTTCAAAAATATGTTTCCAAAAATCAGCCGACCTATTATCAGGGACTTTGAGTATATATTGTCGAAGATTTTCAAGTCTATAGTGTCAAAAACTTTCAAGGTCATAATGGTGGATTGAGAACGTTTTCACCCAACTATGACGTTTTTAAGAATATTTTTTTCAACGATTTTTAGGGCTACCATAGTGAATTAAAAAAAAATTGGAGAACCTTTAAAGAATATTTTCAAAGGACCTTCAAAATCATAATTGTTGAATTTTAGGAAAAATGTTTCACGGATAATCCGTTCATTAATCGTGGATCTTCAAAGTATATGTTTTCAAACACCTCCGAGATAATAACTATAACTCTCGAAGTGAGTATGCATTTTCTTCCAAACTTGGTACATCGGAACTTATGAAATTTGACACATTTACCAACACAAGAACTGCAGAGAAAATGAAATATAGGTGACCGTTTCTTTTTGCACCTTCTCCACAAATGTTCAAAATTTTAAATAAGCAAAATCTGGTGTGAAGATGAGAGATATCGGCCCACTCCTTCAGAACATTCTCTATAAATGATCAACAGTTTGAATAACATAAATGGAGGGAGTCTAGTAATAGTATTACTTTTGGGATATAAAAAGCATTATCTTTTGGTGGAATCTACCATATATATATATATATATATATATATATATATATATATATATATATATATATATATATATATATATATATATATATATATATATATATATATATATATATATATATATATATATATATATATATTTAAAAGCCGCAATATATATATATATATATATATATATATATATATATATATATATATATAAATTGTCATATGTTGATGCTATATTTATACCGGCCTACTGACCAATACTTCCCTATTTTTTTTAAATGAAGTTTAGTTATACCACCTCAGTTCCCCATCGATTTTCCCACACATTCCACCATATCCCATAAGTGTTCGTGTTTTCTTCCAAGTTTCGTATATTCCTT